CCTGTAGTTCCCTGGGTCCTCCTTCTTGCCCTTTTTGAAGATTGGAGTGACATTGGCCTTTCTCCAGTCCTCGGACACCTCTCCTGTCCTCCAGGACCTTTCAAAGATGATGGAGAGTGGCTCAGCAATGACATCCGCCAGCTCTCTCAGCACTCGTGGGTGCATTCCATCGGCGACCATGGATTTGTGGGCATCCAGATTGCTTAGATGATCCCTCACACAATCCTCCTCGACCAAGGGAAGGTCATCCTTTGTGCAGGCTTCCTCTCTTAACTCCAGGGCCTGTGATTCCTGAGGGCCTGCCTTAGCACTAAAGACTGAAGCAAAGCAGGCATTCAGTAACTCCGCCTTCTCTGTATCCTCCATCACCAGGGCACCCACCTTGTTCAACAGCGGCCCCACATTGTCCCTAGCCTTCCTTTTGCTGCTGATGTACTTGAAGAAGCCCTTCTTGTTGTCCTTGACATCCCTTGCCAGATTCAAGTCCAGGCGGGCCTTAGCCTTCGTCGTTGCATCCCTACATGCTCTGCCAACATTCCTGTACTCCTCTCAAGTTGCCTGTCCCTCTTTCCACATTCCGCAGACCCTTCTCTTCCATCTGAGTACTGCTAGAAGCCCTTTGCAAAGTATTTGCAGGCTTTAGTTACACTGCATACTTACTTTTTTAACATTGTTAAGCTACATCCGAGTCTGGTTATGCACTGCTTCCAAAACTGTTGTATAAGTCTCGGGTCTAGCCTCAAAATCTTATTACAGTAGTTCACTTGAACCAAGGCAAAGTAAGATAAAGATGAAAATGAAAGTGGCACTTCCCCTCCCACCCCCACCCGTGGAAAGGGGCAAATGAGGGAGACATGTACATCAATTTCTATTACTGCTGCTGTCATCTCTCCCCAGTACAAATGGGGATAGGCACGATGGCATGAAGATTATCACAAGAGAGTGGCTGGAGGGACCTGTTACAAAACATGATTTTCTTCAGTGCTCAGACTTGAGTGTAATGGAGAGTAGTACATGACTCGCAGAACGTGTTCAATAACAGCAACAATTCAGTCTTAATGGAATGAATCATAGAGATGTTTTGCAGAGCTGGCAGTTACTAAATCCACTTTGCAAAAAGAGCACATTCACCGTGTTGCAAGAGGTTCATCAAGCAACACTTGACGCTTACACTGGTCCTTACAAAACACAACAAGCTTTAATAGCAACATGAAGTTCTACGCTCTGGCAGCCCTATCTACATAAGTGCTTCGATAAATTAACACTGTGGTTAAAGTAAATTGCAAGCATCAAGGAATATAATTTCAAATGCATTCTAAAAGCGCAATATCAGTTCTGTTACAGCTGCTTTCCCCTAGCACTTCAAGTAATCACTGAGGTTAAGGCCAGAAAGTAATATCAGATCATCCAGCCCTTGGTTTTAACCCACTTTCCTGCACATTAAGCCCACTAATACTAATTGGATGACAACATCCAGAAAGTTGTCCGGCCTTTGTTTTGGAAACCAAGAGATAAAATCTCTCCTGGGTCATTTGTTCCAAATCGACTCCACCATCTCAAAAAAAAAAAAAAAAAAAGTATTCTCCTTCATTTTGCAAGCTTAGCATCAATTTCTAGTCACTAATTATGTCTGCGTTTCTGAGTTATTAAAAATACCTCAATGA